ACCGGAAGTAAGAGTTACACCGGCGCGGCCATTCTTACATGCGGGAGTCGATTTCGCAGGTCCGCTGCAAATTCTTATCACAAGAGGTCGAGGAATCAAAACCGATAAGGCATATATTTGCATATTCATCTGTACGCATTTTTAGGGGCCTTCTAAAAATTTGTAGCAAGTAGAGGTAAATGTAGTCATATCTGGAGGGACCAGGGGTCAAATTTTATAGGAGCTAACAGGGAGTTGAAGGATTTATGGCAACAGGCAAGATTAGAAATTCCTGGATCTTTATCAGATATACTCGCAGAAGATGGCTAACAATGGCACTTCAGTCCACCATATAGTCTAAATTTTGGTGGCCTTTGAGAGGCAGGCGTGAAGTCCATTAAATACCACCTAAAGAGGATTTCAAATAGACACCTTACATTTGAAGAGATGTCTACCACTCTGTGTCAATCACAAACATCAAGAGTTCAAACAGGCTTCTATTTAAATAGAAGCCTGTTTGAACTCTAGACCTGTGTCCAATAGAAGCAACAGACATTGATTCTTTGGAGATACCTATAACTGGAGTGAGATATAGATATCTCACTGCAGGTCGCTGTCGCGCTGTCGGTCCATTACATTTTTTAACCGGTGAAGCTCCAATTAACATACCAGAACCGGACTTAAGGCAAATTCAGGTAAATAGATTATCACATTGGCAGTATACTCGGAGATTATTACAGGATTTTTGGCATAGATGGGAGAACGAAAATTTGTCTAAGCTGCAACAAAGACCAAAATGGTTAAAACACAATCAAGAGTTTAAAATCGGTGACATTGTACTTATTAAGGAAGAAAATCTTCCTCCTGGGAAGTGGTCTTTGGGGCGTATTGTACAAAAGCACCCTAGACCGGATAATAAATTTTAATTAAATTTTAAATTTTTAATTTATTTCAGATAACATATGATCCATATCATTAAAATACAGTAACTAACATATAAACATATAAAAACAATAATAAGTAACTCATAATTATTATTTAGTACCTTCTCACTCCTACAATTAATGGGACATGTTTGTCGCAGGATAAGACAGTCCAATCTGTCTCCAATCATTTTCAGAATAATATTGGAGCTGGCCCGCACTCTGCGCACCAGTGACGCGCACCGCTTACGCATGGTCGCGTACATTAATTTTACTAGTGTTTTTCCAGAAGCCCTTAAAGTTACCCTTTGAATGCTTTTCCGCAAGAGCATCCATTTTTATTTGTTCTTGGTGGTCTTGGCACCACTTTAATCTGGACTTGAAAACTCGTCTGCTTTCGCACATTTCTCGGTAAACAGAACCCGATTTTGGCTTTCCGCACATCACCCATTCATATAACTTGGACCTAGCCTTCCTATGAGCAGCGCTGACGTGCTTGTTCCAACCCACTATGCGCGAGCCACTCCCTCCACTTTCATGCTTCCCCGACTTACCACCGCTGCGTCACGAAGGGCGGTCACAATGTCGGCGTAAAGCTTATCTAGAGTATGCCAGTGGCGTCGGTCATTACAAGCATAATCAGCACAACTCACACAATCCGAAGGAAAGTCAATCAATCTTAGCCTCTTATGACACTCAATGGTATACATAGAGATTTGTTCAACACTTCTTTCACCCCATAATATATTTTTATTTGGATTCATAATTTTAGGTAATATTTTAGGGGTTAGTAATTTTAAATCGCAATTTATAGTAAGTGGAAAGTGGTCCGACCATTGAGTGTCATATATTACAACAACATTAATCACAGACTGCTTTGCCGACTGAGTAGTAATGCAGTGATCCAGCCAGCTGCATGTCCCGAACACATCACTAATAAAAATAACAGTGCCCGTGTTTAACTCTAATATCTCTGTGTCTATACACGACCATAGTTAGTCATTACAAAAATTAATAACTTTACTGTAAAACAACTCACCCGGGTCCGCATTAAAGTCTCCCAAAATAAATACGGCATCAATTCCGTATTCGTCAACAATCGCACTCACAGTACTCAAACAGTCTATAAATTCTGGTAAATTTTCTACCGAATTTGTTGGCATATAAACACTCATTATTATCACAGGTCTATCACACGTTATAATTTTTATACCACAAATATGGCTATTATCGCACTGTAATTTTGACACCTGTTGAAACGCACTATATCGCCATAACACTGCAGTTCCCCCAAACGGACGTCCTCTAAGGATGCCCGCAGACATATCCATCGCCGAAGTTGCCGTGTACCCGAAACCGCTGTCAATGGTGCCGATGTAGGGTATGTCGTGTGACATTAGCCAAGTTTCCTGAAGACACACCACATCACATGATCGGCAGAGTTCTCGGACATCGTCTATTGATCGTTTTATATTTTTGCAATTAAATGTGGCAAGTCTAAATGGGGAACTATCCATTATTGGGTTTATTTTGACCGTCTACTCTGGTAGAACCTGCAACGTTCAGTTTCCTGTACTTAAAGTTTAGAAAACGTCGGAATATGACACCTTCGGGCCATAGCGTTTTGTCCATGTATTTCGATAAATTAGCCTCAGATATTAAAAATTTATATGCTTTGTGTCCTCTTTCCACTTTCATATTTATTTTCTCTGATTTACTATTTCCTTTGTCTTATTATAGATATGGTTAGTTATGTCTTTTTCTGTTGCAGAGACATGCACATTCGTAATGAACATAGGAATTTTCCTATGGGTAGCTCTGAAAGTGCATTCTAGGTCTCTTGCTATGCCCGAATTTCCTACGTAACGATATTTGTTTTGTTTTTTACGATATACCACTTTTTGCCAGTCTTCGCTGTTAATATTGAATTGGAGTGGATAGAATCTTGATGGGCCTAAAATCTAACAGTGCACCAGGTTGGGATATGATTTCAACAAAGTATTTAAAATTTGTAAGATATGAAGTCGTTCCTATTATAACTCACCTTGCCAACCTTTGTTTTAATAAGGGGATATTCCCTACCCTGTTAAAGCAATCTATTATTATTCCGGTACACAAGGGTGGAGATAGGACGGAAGTGAATAATTATAGGCCCATATCCATATTACCTAGCATATCAAAAATTTTGGAAAAGCTTATTAATAATCGTTTAGTAAATTTTTTTAAATAAATATAATATTTTGTCTCCTTCCCAATTTGGATTTAGAACGGGTAAATCCACAGAAGATGCTGTAACTTCTCTAAGCTCGCTAATAATTGAAGAAATTGATAATAAAAATAAATGTTTAACGGTGTTTCTTGATATCAAAAAAGCCTTTGACACCGTCTCTGTCCCTATCCTAGTAAATAAATTGGAAAAGGTTGGTATAAGGGGAGCACCATTAACTCTTTTTAAAAGCTACCTCTCTAATAGGAAGCAGAGAGTAAAGTTGGAACAGTACTTAAGTGAAGATGCAGAAATAACATACGGAGTTCCACAGGGAAGCGTTTTGGGCCCTACATTATTTCTTGTATATATCAACGACCTTTGTAGCCTAAAAATAAATAACGCAAAAATCTTCTCCTATGCTGATGATACTGCAGTCGTCTTCTCTGGAAATTCCTGGAAAGCTGTGAAAAATAGTGCCGAAAATGGAATGGTTCAAATAGCTACTTGGTTAAAATATAACTTGCTCTCGCTGAACACAAATAAAACTAACTATATATGTTTCAGTATCTACAATAAAAATCAACCTGATGACAGATTTAGTATAAGGGTTCATGATTGTTGTAACACCCAGGATAGTAACTGCAACTGCCCGATCATTAATAAAGTTACCCATACAAAGTACCTGGGTGTCATATTGGATCAGAGACTGTCCTGGTACCCACAGCTTGAACAAGTTGCCGGAAGAGTCAGAAAGTTGATTTGGGTCTTTAGATCATTAAGGCATGTGGTTCCAGGTAATAATAAAAAAAATGGTGACCGGGAAACATCAAGAACAATTCTGAATGAGATATATATCGCCTTGGTTCAATCTGTCTTGGAATATTGCATTCCTGTTTGGGGAGGTGCGGCAAAAACTAAGTTTATAGAGGTTGAGAGAGCACAACGTGCGCTTATTAAAGTTATGAACTTCAAAAATATTAGATACCCCACGGAAAGGCTTTATCTCGAAAATGGGCTACTTTCGGTAAGGAAACTGTATATAAAACAGATCACACTCAAAAAACACAAAAATATACCCTACGATGCAAGTAAAAAATGAAAAAGAAGAAAAAATGATGTGGCTTCAGTACCCCAAACTAAAACTAAGTTTGCTAGTACTCAATATAATAGTCGCTCGTCTCAAATTTATAATAAAATCAATAAAGAACTTGATATTTATTCGAAACAATATATCGAATGTAAAAAGGTAGTACAAAATTGGTTAGAGTCACTTAATTATGAGAACACTGAGCTGCTTTTACATACAGTAAAATAGTACACTCCATACCCACACACTCACATACAAACACATACACGCGCAAGCATGCACGCACACACACACACACACACACACACACACACACACACACACACACACACACACACACACACACACACACACACACACACACACACATACACGCACGCTTTCGCATACATATAACAAATAACATAATCTGAGGAAAAAAACTGTAAATACTCCCTTTTAGTCTTTAAGTTTTCCTTTGTTATGTCATATTTCATAATGTAAATAATATAATATATAGATATTGATATGGAAAAGCGGATTCACCTGGTACAGGCATTATTTGCTTAAAACGAGAATCCGGCCACTAATGTCTGTAAACCAATTCTATTTGCTGAAATAAATTTTATTATTATTATTATTATTAATAATAATATTTTGCGAGCGCTCCGGTTCACACGTTTCTAACGCGCATGTACCGCCTGCCTTACCAGTAGTGGTCAGCTACTCCTCTAGCTGTAGATTCGTGCTCGATGAGTGTAACGTCACCGCCGGACCGCTTCGAGTGTTCGCCTCCTGATTCACTATTGGCCTTACTCCTCCCTCACCGCAGCCTGCAAGTGCGCTTGCCTGAACTCGTTTCACCGACAGGTCGGTCGTTTAGTTTATTTTCTGTTGGCTTATGTCGTTCTACCCTCAATTTTTCAGATTGCGTCGAAGGCGATTTTATGATCAATGATTCATTTATGTTTCTTGTACTTATCTCATCGGGCAACATATCATAATCATGTGAGAGTCCCATCTGTCCACTGTCTAGCCACGCACCTCGTTTCATGTTCATTTTGAAAGCTGACGACGGCGGTGGGTAATCGGTTTTTAGCTGATAGACTTCCGTTCTTAGTTCATTTACACACTCTAGCGTAGCATAAGTCGACTTTATGCCTTCGATTTCAGTCTTCATCGTTAGCATGTCCTTGAACAGTTTAAAACAGTCCAAATGATCCCATAAGATTGGTGGCAGTTTATCTAACTGTCTTGCCACAAAAACTGGGATAAGGTCGGGCTCCGTAGTTTTAAAAAAGTTTATAATATCTGCTACGTCACGGCTTCTTTCCCTTTATTCTTTCGTAATATTTTTCTTTTGTCCTTTGGGATAGACTCAAACAAAAGTGTCTTGAAGTTCTTGATATCCTCACTTGTAAATGCCGACTTACAAATACGCACTAGAGTTTCCTCGTCTGCGATCGATATTTTATTTTGTATATATGACAACATCTCGTCAATGACGATGTTACATTTACTGCACTTCACTACGTTCGTCATATTTATTAAAATGCGCTCGTTAACGCTCATTAAAAGTTAACACGCCCAACTCGTACGGGTGCGCGCACGCGACTCGAATATATGTCGTGTTTATAGTTTAAAATGTAGAGATAAAATTGTTAAAATAACTGTTGCTAAGTTATGTTTGCTTCCAACTAATAGTTATGATTATTGTTTGTTACAAAGGTTTCTAGTATTTAAGATAATTTAATGTTTAAAACAAACTATGGTGTTAGTTTATCTGCTTATATCTCATGAGTAAAATCAATTCATAATATGATATGGAAACTACTGAATTGTTTAAATGTTTAATTTACTTTGCGTTATTTATACTTTCATTTGTAATTTAATATCCTTGTATTTTGTTAGTTAATGAATAATGTTTGTTTTATAAAAACCGAGGGTTTTTGGTGGACGGTATATTGTGTTTACAATTATGCATGCATACATTTTCTATGCATCGTGTAAAATATGTTTGTAATGAATCATTCACAGAGTACTATTGTAAAGAATCAGTTTGCAATAAACACTCCTCAGACCAAGACGTTATTTTATTTACAAAATCTATAGTCAGTCAGTTTAGAACCCTAAATACAATAACAATAAAACTTGTTCTTTTCTTATTTAAAGGTAACATCTATTAAACTAGGAACAACAAATGTTTTGGTACTAAAAGAAGAGATATGCAACTAACTAGTTTTTGTAGTTATTAATATAAAGTTTTATAAGTATATAAATAAAAATAGATAAGATCAGAAAATCATATGAATTTGTTGATTATGTCTTTACATTCTTATTCATAAAATCCCTCAAAATGGTGTTATAAACGGAATTAGGTAAAATGCTCATTAGTACTATTAAACCTATTATAAAATTCTCTATTCATAAACGTTCAATAAACCTGTTCACAAACTAATAAGAGTACTGACGTAAACCTGTCATAGTTAAATCGTATTTATGGAATACATTAGTTTACTATGTTGTCATTCTGATAAATCCATAAACTAGCCACGATGAAAAAAAAAAGTTTTACAGCAATTGTGACGTTTCCGTCAAAACAAGCGTGTTGTTTTCTTTGAATCGGTTAAAAAAATTGATTTTAGTTTTATTTTTTACTAAAGTAATGGAAAACAGTACATGTAAAAAGTGGCAAAGAAGTGAAAATTGGCTGAAGGAAGATAAGGTTAGTACGTAATTTTCTCATAGTTGCTCAGTGCACACGTGTTAGGTTACTATGTTGTTATAATATTATCCTTTTTTTTTCTATAGCATTTATTGATGGATTTGGTAAGAGAGCGTGTATCAGTGATTGAAAATAAAAATACTGATACAAATACCAACTCAAGAAAGCTAGCAGCATGGGCGGACTTATTATCCAAGTACCTATTTTTGTCTTTTCAATGTGTGAAGGGTTTGAAGACAAGTCTTCAACACAATGATTATGCAACAGAAGCATGTCACTTTGTCTCAAGCTGGCCTAATAAATATAAGCTTAATGTCACTCAACAGTCTTCGGGAAGAGCTATGACAGGAGCATCCATTACGATGTGACTTATTGAAGAATAAAGCTGCCGACAGAGATTCAGACTTAAGTTGAAAACTAAGGTAACTGTGGGCAGTCCACATAGCTCATAGAACATAGGATTGGACGGGTTGATATACGAGAAAGCGCAACAAAGTCCTCAGGGTCGCTTGCTTTAAGATTGGCCAATTTTGAATATTAAAATTTAAACATTTGTGTAAATTGTTATAACATTTTTTTCCATTTCAACAGTATGTGCAAAGGTGGCACTCGCACCCTCCCATAAATAAAATCCCAATGGAGCATCATTAAAATGACAAAAAAGAAAATTAAGTCTGTCGAACGTAAGAATCTTCTCCAGACTGGTGGTCGTCCACCTCCAACAACAAACCCCGAAAATGCAGATAACCTATGTTCATTGCTCCTTAGCGAATTTGTCATTGACACAAATGAATTTGATTCTGATGAAATAAATCAGGTATTATGTATGGCAAGATTGTAAGTTAAAGGTGTGAAGCGACAGTAGCCTAATGGCAGGGCGCGGACCGCGAACTCAAAAGACCGCGGGTTCGAATCCATCATTCAACTACTGTCGTGAACCACTCCTAACACAAGCATTTCCAGCTTACCAGGAGTGGTTAAAGGGAATATTAGTAATGTTAATTAATAGGATTACTAATATTTATTATAAAAAAAGGTCGCAAGTTTTATCTCTACCCAGTACAAACTTTCATTCAATAAACATTGTTGTTCTTTTTAATTCCTAAATAAAATACCTATTAAAGTCAATTTGATGATATTGTGATCAAAAAAATCCATGCTACATATAGTTCATTAGTAATTAAATTATTTATTGCATTGTTTGTAAATCAAGATGGGGGAGCCGTCGGATGAGATAATTAAACTTGTTAACATTAAAAACAAGACTTGAGATATTGTGAGCATCAGGAATGCATTGAGATAGCAAGCAATTTTCATATTTTGCATACCTAATTTTATTTTTTTTATTTTACTTTCGTAGGACACAAAGAGTACAGTAAAGGATATCACAGTAGAAATGCTTCAGGAGGTCCAAAATACACAAGAGGTAAATATGTGAAATGTCATAAATCAAGTAATTACTCAACATGTGCCAAACTGGAAATCGAACCCGTCACTTGATTTGTAATCCTGATGTTGTTAAAGCCATGGAAGAAGTTACTTCCCAGGGAAAGAAATATTACTTGAATAAGAAATGATCAATTCAAACTTGAATTTTATTTGATGAAACATTTAATACCAATGTATGTTTAAGATTAAGTTAATTTAAACAAGTTTCTTTTAACGATTTCCATTTCTGCAGGTTGTATCTATTGGCTTACCACCAAAACTACTCTTTACACCCTCTAAGTAACGTGGAAGAAAATATAAAAATGAGAAAAAGGTCAAATTCAAGATTTTTTTTGTTCTATTTCGGAAATTCGACCACATCAATTTTTTATATCCATCACCCAAGAGCTCTTGCCACATCCAGGATCAGGATTTTGGGCAAACAAACAAATGACAAAATCGACCTGCCGCACTTTGACGGCGACTATCAGCGTTGGCTTGCATTTCGAGATGCGTATAACGCACTTATACACAATAACAATAGCTTGAGTGATATACACAAATTACATTATTTGCGCGCTGCTTTAAAAGGTAGTGCCGCCTTAATTATCTTATCAGACAGGTATGATAATCCACGACCATTGCGTGGCACCTTCTATCAGACTGCTCGCAAACAACCACGTACAAGCCCTTTTTGATTTTGAGCCTTTACAAAATGAATCTAGCGTGTTTTTAAGAAACATGATTGATGTCACCAACAAAAACTCGAGGGCTCTTGCTACTCTGGGTGAGCACACCCACCATTGGGATATGCTTGCTATTTTTATGATTTCTCGCAAGTTAGATAGTATATCGTGTTACTAATGGAAGGAGTATCGTAATACTCTTACCGGCTCTCCAACATTACAACAATTTTTAAAGTTTTTAAACAATAGAGCAGATTTACTTGAAACATTATTAAATAATAACAAACAATATACAAAAACAAAAAAACACCTGAACCGTCTAAGAGCTTCATTGTCATTACAGATCACACAAACAGTAGAAATTCAATTAATGAGTTTAGCTGTCTCATATGTAGTGATAAACATTATTTATACTTATGTCCCTCTTTTAGAAGCTTAAGCATTGATTCACGTATAAAACAAGCTAAAGCTGCTCATGTATGCCTTAACTGTTTGCCCAGGTCATTCCCAGAAAGGTTGCCGTTTATCTCACTGTAATGTGATTGTGATTAATGTGTTTTTTAAAGTCGACATATGTAATATCATTGAAATAATTCAAGTTAGTATTTCTAGAAACATCTGACAAGACGTTCGATGGATCACTTTCAGCGAATACGATGTCAATATCCGATTCTGATGATAAGCTTGAACGCGGCGTTTCTTTTTTGTAGATTTTTTTCGTGTTTTTATTCGTTTTAATATTATTTTGTCGTTTTACATTACTTTGTTTTTGAGTGTTATTAAAAATAATTACCGAGAAGTCGTAGTAAATACGAAAATGACAATTTCCACTAGAATTTTCGCAGAAACAACTCAGTTCTCTATACTTAAATTTGTACTTTCCGCAGACTATCAATTGATGGATTTTCATCGTCCCGGGTAAAGATGTCAAGTTATTGACTATTGATGGAACTATTACTTACTTGTTGATTGACTTAATTGTTTCAGCCAGTACATGAAAGCCTCAGTCGACGACAAGGCATCATATGTAGCCTAAGCGTCAGCAATGTCTTATCCTTGAGCTGTTTTCTTGTCCCCCTTGTCAAGGATTCGTTTAATAGCACCTCTCACGCCATCGGCTGCAGCTTTATCAAGAGCTGCTTCGAAAAACGACCAGGTACTATGAATTAATCCATAATCATAAATATTTTGGGTAAACAGATAAAAATTTTTCTTCTGCCTGTACTGAGTAGTGGGTCCGTCAGAAAAAATGAACGGTACTAACATTTGTATAGGTAGTCCTTATATAATTTAAAACGGGATCTAGTTTCGCCGATATAGATTCTGGCTTGTGTTGATTATCGAGCGAATTGGAACAATGATTCTGGGCTTTGGTCTTTTAAATATAGTACACCCGTTTGTAAAGTAAGAAATGTAAAAAGCTTGAACTTCTTGGTGAAAATCTATATGAATTATATCCTCGTATTCTTTTAAGTTTTCTGCACGTAACTTGTATTAGACCGGGAGCTGGTGACAGGTGACGTTCCACGATTTTGTCGTGCATGCCTTTTTAAGGCTTGATAACTAACCCTAAAATATCAAAGATTGTCGGGGCTTTAGCCCCCCCTCGCGTCCTCTTCATAAGGAAAAGCGCTTTTCTTTGTGTAGCGAATTTTCGTGTTTTTCCGTGATAGTATACTGCATGCCATTGTAATATACGGAAGTTCAAGCAAATTGAAGCCCTAATCATTGATGGCATGCACCCCGCAGTGGCCCAAGATGATCAAAGGGTTCTGAAAACCTGAAAAAAAATTAAAGGGCAATTCCGTGTTTTCAAATTGCATGCCGATGTAAAGAATGGAAGTTTTGTAATAAAAACACTCTGGAAAAATTGGCATGCACTCCTGAACTCGTACATATTCAAGCGTTTCCCGGAAAATCTGTTATATAAGATGTAAGCATTCAAAATCTGTATTTGAAATATATGTATAAAGAACTTCCTATACCAGCGCAGCGTTTTTCTTTCGCACGGGTAGTACGACAACATTTGATCTTGCCTGTCAATGCCAGACATGAACCGATTATAAAAAGCTAAAGCTTTTGGTTTCTCCTTTGAGATTCCCCTTTTGTTGGTCACCGTAACCATTTCATCATGTTCTGTCGATATGTATGGAATGTATCGTTTATCCCTATGGCATCCAATGTGAATTCCGTTATGAAAAACAGATTTATTCTCTCCCTTTTTCATTTTACTACTCACAATCTCAGGATTGAATTCGCAGTTTTTTTCTTAGAGTTCCCGTGCAGTAAGTCTTGTGAGTAAGCAACTTCGCGGCTAAATTATACCCATTGTAGAAGTTGTCCATATAAACTGAATGGTCTTTCTCTAGAAAATCTTTCAATAGGTGCAGCACCACCTTTACTGTGTGTCCTTTTCCACATGTTATATCGGCAGAGCCTCCATACAGATGCAGTCTCAGAACGAGGCCATCGGGCTCTGTGAGCATGTACAGCTTCATCCCATATTTGTGCTTCTTGTTTTTATATATTGCCTAAATAATAAACGACCTCTGTAGAGAATCATACTTTCGTCGAGTGATAATTCCTTCTGAGCGCATATCAGATCATTCATCTTATCATTAAATCGTTTTATCAATTCGTCGACTTTGCTCAATCCCCCTAATGATGAGCTGGAAAAATGCAAGCATCTAAACAGCAACAAAAACCTGTTTCGCGACATATACTGTCTGAAAATTGGAATGTTGAATAATCGATCCTTTTTCCAGTAGTCCGTCAAACGATTGAGACGAATAATACCCATATGCAAAATTATGCCAAAAAATAATTTCATCTCGGCGACACTTGTGTCTTTCCAGTCCGTTATTCTTGATTTCAGCCCAACTCCTGGCTTCATCAAAACATCAGCAGCGTGCTTATTAGTTTCCAGAACAATATATGTCAGGAATTCATCATCGAGGAAAAGACTTAAAAAATCTATAGCTTTTGACTCACTGGATACCGTCACTTTCAAACCAACTTTTTCCGTGAAATCGAAGATCTTCATACCTTCATTTGTATTTGACCAAGGTACAGATGGTCTTTCTCGTGCCCTTTGCCCTTGAGACGGTCCAGGAACATTTAGTGATGCCAAATCCTGCTCAACTTGTAGTAACGCTGACGATTGAGGCTGCTCGTCTTCTGTGGCAGAGCACTCGACTTGACTATCTTCAAAGGCTGTATTTTCAGAGTCTGAACACTACCAACCAGTTGAATCTGGTTGATAATTATCGGAAGACGAGGCACTAAAGTCGGGGTCAATTTGTTCAAGAACCTCCGTAATCTCATAATCCCGAATTGTAGTGTTTTTCTTTTGTAATGTACAAGTACGTGGCAAGGTAGTAGTCGCGGATTCTTCATTTTCCAATGTTTCGATTCGTAATGTATTAGTGCGTGCCAAGGTAATCGTCGCAGGTTCTTCACTTTCAGATGTTTCGGGTGAGGAAACAAACACAAGACGACGTTTAAGTCGCTGTTTGCCAAATAATGAACGCGGAGTTTCAGCGTCCATGGTTCTCATAAAAACAAAGCAATTCCAAAACCAAAATTATTTTATGACGTACGCTAGGCTATAGGCTTACGCCGACTGCGAAACAACCACCAACCTACGATGCCGGCGGCGTACTGAGACATAAGAGCATAACGGCTAGTCACCCCCGCGCGGAGTCGGCGGCACTGTAACGGAATTCCCGACAGCTCCGCGCGGGGATTCCGGCATTCAACCTGTTAATAAAATACATGGAAACTAACAACTTGCTTTCAGACAGACAATTTGGTTTTAGGCCTAAGAGATCATGCAATGATGCCTTGCACCAATTGACAGATTACGTCCCAAGTAATCTTGACAACGGTATGCACTCAATTGGGATCCTTTTAGACCTTGCCAAAGCATTTGATACTATTTCTTGCCCTATACTATTGCAAAAGCTTGAAACACTTGGCATAAGGGGAACTCAACTACAATTATTTTCTGATTACCTAAGTCATCGCTTTCAATGTGTAAAAATCGGTGAGTATACAAGTACTGAATAACAAAACAGCTCTTATGGAATCCCACAGGGCAGTATCCTGGGGCCTACATTGTTCCTAATTTATATAAATGACTTATGCAATCTTCAACTTCAAAATGGGGTCATTATGTCGTATGCAGATGACACAGCCCTGTTATTCTCAGCTAAATCACGAGATGAGGTTTATAAATACGCTCAGCAAGGCTTTAACATAGTATCTAATTGGCTTCTTAATAATCTCCTACGTTTAAACGCTGTAAAACACAATATATGTTATTTTTAATGAGAAATAATAACATACCTACTCACCTAAATATTTACGCTCATAATTGTAACTCGTATAATGACAATGCATGTGCATGTTCCGCATTAACAAAAACAGACAATATAAAATATCTAGGTATCACGCTTGACACAAATTTAAATTCCCGCTAGCACATCGATTTACTTTGTGCTAGAGTTCGTAAATTAATATATATTTTTAAATATCTTCGTAACATCGCTGACTTCAAATTGATAAGACAGGTCTATTTAGCTTTGTGTCAATCCATATTTACTTATGGCATTACTTCCTGGGGTGGAGCTTCTAAAACAATATTGCTCCCATTGGAACGTGCTCAGAGAGCAGTTATAAAGGTAGCAACTTTCCGTCCATTCATGTTTCCTACACATCAACTTTACTTGGCATTTAGTTTCTTTTCTGAACATCATATTGAAATAGCATACCGAACTTCCATTTAAATTAAAATCCATAGACAGGAGAAGAATGGACTTAGTTTGTGTAAACCCTCAAACCAAACACGCATTTGTGAACAAATTTTACATATTTTTAGGACCCTTTCTATATAACAAGCACAACAAGTCACTAAAGGTATACAGTCTAAGTTATAAGAACTGTAGTATAAGTGTAAGGGAATTTCTAAATAAATTAAATTACGAAGACACAGAGAAGTTGTTAGAAATTCTAAAATAGTTTGTATTAATTGTAGGTAACAATTAATTGTTATTTTGTTATTTTATTTATTATATAATATAGTTTAATTATTTAAATATCTAGTGTCCTACATTATTAAACCCATTGTGTAAGTGATATCTGAAACACAGGTACTCAACCTAGTTCAGGCAGGTAGCTAATATTATAAACTTGACTTTTTTATTTTTCTTTTGTATATTCTACATTATTAAGCTACACATAGTTTTAATTTTATCATAGTATATTATTTTTGTTAGACTTATTGTTACTTTATTTAATTGTAATCATATTTATTCCTTTACGAAAACATATGTAATTGGAATTTGATTTGATTGGAATGACTGGCCTGTTGGTCTAGTGGTTAGTGACCCTGACTGCTATGCCGGAGGTCGTGGGTTCGATTCCCACCCAGGACAAATGTTTGTGTGATGAGCACGATCATTTGTTCAGTGTCTGGGTGTAATTTATCTATACTATTTATGTATTTAGAAATATATAAGTATGTTTATCAGTTGTCTCTAGTACCCATAACACAAGCTCTGCTTAGCTTGGGACTAGATGGCGTTGTGTGATAGTTGTGGAATATAAAATATGTAATTGGAAATGAAATAAATATTTATTATTATTATGTGGGGTATCTATATAGTTTTCTCATCTGGTTGGGATGTATAAATATATAATTATAAATGAAAATGAAAAGATAAATATACATAAATATCAATAAAATAAAATAAATACAAAAATACATAAATAAATAAAAGCCAAACCAGATGGAAGCCCTCGGCAGGGGAGACCAAACGGCCAAGGGTTAGGGGGAAAGGAAAAGAAACCGGCGGACGATGCGGGCAGTATCAAGGAGCTCCGCCTTCTGCATTTGAGCCTGGAGCGGTCCGTCACGGAGTCCCAGTCGCCTCAGATGACCAGAGAGGCTAACTGGGATTAGCCCATTCGCAGAGACGACTACAGGAATAATTTCGGTCGGCAGACCACCCCACATGTCGGTCACCTCGTGGGCCAGGTCCAGATATTTTGATTGCTTATCTGTTTCGGCTTTCACGAGGTTCTCGTCATACGGGATGGTAATATCGACCAAAAATATCCTTGACTGTGCCCGGTCCATCAGCACAATATCAGGCTTATTTGCAAGAATAGTCCTGTCTGTGATGATTGCCCGGTCCCAGTAGAGCCTGGCGCGGTCATTTTCGAGCACGGCTTCCGGCAAGTACCTGTAATACGACAATTTCCGGTCCACGACACCTTATTTCAGAGCGAGCTCCTAGTGTAGAATTCTGGCTACTAGGTTGTGCCTGTGCAAGTACTCAGAGTTAGAAAGCGCCGAACAACCGGAGATGACATGCCTAAGTGACTCACCGGGATGGCGACAAGCTCGACAGACGTCGACGGTGCCATCCTTTAGGATGTATCTCCGATAGTTGTTGGTCTTAATAACCCGATCCTGTATTGCACAGACAAAACCCTCGGTTTCCCCGAAGAGGTCACCGAAACGTAGCCAGTTGAGGGAGGCGACTGTATCTACGAAGGGTTCATGAAGAGCTCTGTAGTACCTCCCGTGGAGCTCCTTCTCCTTCCATACGGTCTCCCGGTCGGAAATGCTAAGCACTGCTGGGTCCTGCCATTGCTCGTGGGCTAAGGATAGAGGGGTAAGCCCTTTATCACTAGAAATGACGTTATTATAGAATGGATCATCCGCTCTCACCAGGAAGTAATCACGGAGGCTGCACACTTCGCGATTATGCATGGTGAGCGCGCTTAGAAAACCACGCCCATCATGCTTTCGCGGCAAGTACAGCCTCATTACCGACGATCTCGGATGATGCATCCTATGGGACGTCATGGTAGCGCGGACTTTTCTATTCAGGGCGTTAAGTTCGGTCTGAGTCCACCTGAGTATGCCAAAGGTATATATGAGGATAGGCATGACCCAACCGTTATATGCGTGTGTCTTATTCACATCGGACAAAAGGCTGTTAAGCACTTTGGTCAAGCGTGCATAAAACACGTCGCAAACTGACTGTTTCATACCAGCCTCATCGATACCGATGTTCTGTGACATACCCAAGTATCGGTAGGTTTCAGCCTCGGAAAGGGTCCTTAAGTTGACGGGCATAGATAAGTCTATGCCCTCAGAGTTAGCAATCCTTCCCCTTTCAACATGGAGGACCGCACACTTATCCGTCCCCAGCTCCATTCCAATAGAATTGCTAAATTCACAAGTGATGTTTAGCAATTCCATAAGATGGGAGCGACTGGAGGCGAATAACTTGAGGTCATCCATATAGAAAAGGTGGGTCACTTTTGTTCCTCCCTTCCGTAGCTGAAATCCTCTCCAGGAGCCCTCCAGTAAGGTACTGAGAGGGTTCAGAGAGAGGCAGAACCAAATTGGACTCAGACAATCGCCCTGGAAGAAACCCCTTCTTATCCTTATGTGGTTCTCCGCAGCCATCATCCGCTCGCCCAGATAACAGAGGATCGTACTCCACTGCCACATACACTGCTCGAGGAAGTCTCTAACTGTACAGTCAATCTTGTACAGCTCGAAGAGACTCTTTAGCCATGTATGGGGCACCGAGTCGAATGCTTTTCTGTAGTCTATCCAGGCGACGGAGAAGTTCCGACGGTTGCGTTTCACCACTTTGCCAATGACCGCGTCAATGAGGAGTGGTTCCTTGGTTCCACGACCACCGCCCCGACATCCATTTTGAGCGCGTGACATCACCTGATTTAGCTCCAGGTGACGAGTGATTCTCGCGCTCAAAATGGATGTCAGTGTCTTATATATAGTGGGTAGACACGTGATGGGGCGGTATTTGCTCGGGTCTGTGGTATCCTGATCTTTAGGAACCAAGTGAGTGATCCCAGTAGTGAAGAGGCTCGGGAGCGACTTCCGATCGAGAGCCTCTTGATACTGTCGGGCGAGCACAGCGTGACACACTACGAACTCCTTCAGCCAGTAATGATGCAACCCGTCGAGCCCCGGACTTTTCCAGTTCGGGGTCCTACGGACCGCCTCAGCCACGTCTTCAGGCGTTATGGTGACGAGGTCCATAGGCGTAACACTTGCACTCTGGCTCGCCACAACTTCCATCCAAGGGCCCTCGCTGTGGTTTACGGGCTCTGACCACAGTCCACGCCAAAATGCGACAGTGTCAGCCTGATCCGGTCCTGGGCCCGCTCCAATGATTTATAGAGCTTCTTTTGATCACTCTGGAAGAGACGATTCTGGTTGAACCGCATTGACCTCTCGCAAAATCGTCGAATCCGCTTCCCCCAAGCGCATTTTTTGCTTCAGGTCATCTATGCGCTCCGTTAGTTTCTGCGTAATATCCGGCTGGGACAAACTGATATTTGTCCCAGCAAACGCCATCCTTACGGTGCGCACAATCCTCGGTCTATTATTACCCGACCTGAAGCTTGTCAGTCTGCCAATAAGGGCTCTTGCCTTTGCGATACGGTCCTCGATTCGTTTTCTCCAGGCTGGGATGGCACTACCTTGTTGAGTAGCACGTCCAGCCATGGAAAGTTTGGCGCCAATAAACGGCATACTGCCAGTCCGGCGCCAAAAAGAATTGAGTCCGCCTCGCAAAGGTCCCGGCTGGCTTCCAAATAGGTCACCAGCATTGGGTTAAGAGCCCGCACGACAGCCCGATTTCGCTTGCTAAGGGGTATGCGGGGAAGTCGCAGTCGATTTTCGAGAGGCATGCTGCGCGTTTCCAGCATCGACTATTATTTATTATTATTATTATTATTATGGCGGCAACTCAATTTTCTCACCTGGTTGGGTTCTATAAATATATAATTATAAATTAAAATGAAAAGATAAATGTACATAAATATCAATAAAATAAAATAAATACAAAAACTACATAAATAAATAAGATCCAACAAGATGGGAGCCCTCGGCAAAGGAGACCAGACGGCCGAGGGTTAGGGGGAAAGGGAAAGAAACCGGCGGACGATGCGGGCGGTATCGAGGAGCACCGCCTTCTGCATTTGAGCCCGGAGCGGTCTGTCACGGAGTCCCAGTCGCCTGAGATGACCCGAGAGGCTGACTGGGATTAGCCCATTCGCAGAGACGACTACAGGAATAATTTCGGTCGACACACCACCCCACATGTCGGTCACCTCGTGAACCAGGTCCAGATATTTTATTTGTTTATCTGTTTCGGCTTTCACGAGGTTCTCGTCATACGGAATGGTAATGTCGATCAAAAATATCCTTGACTGTGCCCGGTCCATCAGCACAATATCAGGCTTATTCGCAAGAATAGTCTGTGATGATGGCCCGGTCCCAGTAGAGCCTGGCGCGGTCATTTTCGAGCACGGATTATTATTATTATTATTCTATCTTATATATAATAATAATAATGAAGGGCACCGGGAAGGGATTTCAGCTACGTAAAGGAGGGATAAAAGTGACCTTCTCTATATAGATGACCTTAAATTGTTCGCCTCCAGTCGCTCTAATTTTATGGAACTGCTGAACATCACTTGTGAATTTAGCAGTTCCGTCAGCATAGACTTGAGGAAGAATAAGGCTGGTTTTAGTCTTACGCCGACGGCACGCGCACCGTCAGCGCTGATGGCTGAGATATATGAACTTCTAGGAAGAGTTTTTGAAGGACGCGTAGCTATCAGCGCGCATGGTGGTCAGCGCTGATAGCTACGCGGCCGTACGCGTCGCGCGTCGACCTCGCGTAGCTGTCGGCGCTGACGATCGCAAGAGCGCCTCTGCTTTCAGTAAGCGTTCTAGTGTCGAGCGGAGCGGACGTCGTCAGCGCGTACGTCATGGCGAATCGCGAAGTGGATACAGGTCAAGTTATCGATGAGGTACGCCTGAGGAAGAAACTGTGGGATGCATCCGATCCACTCTACAAAAATAAAGATGCAAGAAACAAAGCCTGGGAGGATATTGTGGACACATTGTTCGAAAATATTTCAGGAGAAGAAAAACAACAACTTGTTTTGTTTACTTTCTTATTTTATTATCTGAATACCTACACTACAGGACAAAGCCTTTTCAAGCCTTTTAAAATATACACGAATCTTGCCAGGGTATGCTTCCAATAAGGCTCACAAAGTACTCAGCAAAATGTTCTCGCAGAGCGTGTCCAGACTTGTTTGTAAGTACAGTTGGCAAGTCTACCATACCCTAAATTGTAAGTTTGTCTTCAATACGATAACCATCGCGAATTCTTATAAAGTTATACAATACGCAGCATGCTTTAACTATATTCTTTGTAACATCAAAACACATTAATAGGTGTATGAAACACTCTGAACTTGTTTGACATTATACCACATGTCGATTCTATGTATCGTCTACTGCAGCTCAGTCTATAATTAAATATTTTTTTCTTGTGGGTTATATTTGATCGTACATATGGCTTCAAAATTTTATTTGATATTCCAAAAGCACCATCACCCACAATTACATGTTCAAATGGAGTATTTGTTCCAGTCAATGGCTTCGGTCCTGGAATATTTAAAGTGTTTTGTTCAAGGCTCCTGTATAGTGCACTGTTTTAGAATATAGTCGAGTCCGAGTTTTTCCCATATGTTTTAATTTTTACATATGTAAAACAATAATCTGCATCGCACATACAGAACTATGGAGTAAAATTTTTTATAGTTGTAGAATATTGATCGACCACCGGATGGATTTACGATTCGGATGTGCTTGCCATCAATAGCTCCGATGCAATTTGGAAAGTAACAAGCAATGTAGTCTTTTGCAGAAAACCATTAGTAATATTTTGCCACATATCAGGTGTATTTGATGATATGCATTCATCGTGTAGCGTTTCCTATATTACTTTACACACTTCGTCCACGATCTTACTGATTGTTGCCATTCCCATCCTAAATGAATACTGCAAATCTGTATATGTTCGACCCGTAGCAAGAAATCTGAAAATAAAAAGATTTTATTATTTCAGGAAAACTGGTTCAACATAGGTGGAAAACAGCCCGGGATGCGTTTTTTAGAACAAAAAACGCAATTAAAAAAACGCCTTCTGGAAGTGCTGCACCAAAATAAAAAAGTACATCTTTTATGACGAATTAAGCTTCCTAGCTCCAACAGTTGAGAATGAAGTTGATGAATCACTGAATGCCCCTTCCCTTCCTTCACCCTTAGTAAATGTAGGTAATACATTGGATAGTGTGGTATCTTCAGAAAATACTCAAGATTCTGATCAACGCAGCAAGATTTTTCAAACACTTATCAGGGTGAGCAGAATGACCGTGATGTTGATTCAGCATCATCACAAAAACCTTGGCTGGAAAACAGAAAAAGAAGGGCCCCGAAAACAAATCTAGAAAGTTCTCCATTTTAAAAAGAATTATTAACTTATTAGATTATATTAGAATTATTAACCAAATCCCAGATCTTGCCGCTGACGACCTGGCTTTTTTCGCTTCTTTAGGTCCAATTTTAAAAAGCTTTGATGTAGGATAAAGTCTGAAGGTTTCGACCGAGAGAGCTGCGCGAAGCCATAGATATTCGGAATTGCAACAGATCATATAGCTCTTACTCCAATAACGCAAGGTCTACACTCGACACGTATGCATCATCATACAATTATCAGACTCCAGCTTACCCAGGGTACGAAACCAATGATGCGAATCCAGGTTACTCTGGTTATCAAACAGCGAGATGTACTGAAGAATAATTATATTATGTTTAATTAATAATAATATATAATTTGTTTTTTTTTTTGTTTTACTTATAAAATGAAACATTATAATAATAAATATGTTGTTTTCTTACCTATACTTTACTATGATTAAACAAGGATAAAACGAGTAAATATTTATGTGTTTTTTCTTACTTTAAAGTCACCATTAGTCGTTCAATCGGTGGTATAGGCACGATTCGTAAGCTGCAGTGGACTAGTTTATCCTGTATCTTTGCCAGTAATTCGTCAAAAGTTCTAGTTGAAATTCGAAAGTAATTAAAGAATTTACTTTCGTCAGCCCTCAAATTGCCATATAACAAGACAAAGTCTCCTGCAACGGCTCTCTGCTCAATTAATGGATGAACATGTCTTCGTCGTCGACGGTTTTTATTTTTTTGGGATAGATAGCACAAAACAGCAATAATTAATACACTCCGCACTTTGGTCGTGGTTTGTACAGTAAGGCGGTCAGTACGATACTAAAACGAGCCACGCTGGGCCTCAGCGCTAACAAACTACGCGCTGAGCTATGAGCGCTGACGTGAGCGTGAGACTAAATCAGCCTTAAGTGTGCGGTCTTCCATGTTGAAAACGGAAGGGTTGCTAACTCTGAGGGCATAGACTTATCTGTGCTCGTTAAATACTCTAGTTCTGTACTCGGATAGCTATCGTAGCCCTACTGTACAAACACTTCAGCACTTCCATATCCTGACAGTCTTTATTGTGCCCGTTAATTTAAAGACCCTTTCCGAAGCTGAAACCCACTGATGGCTGGGTATGTCACAGAACATCGGTATCGATGAGGCGGGTATAAAACAGTCAGTTTGCGACGTGTTTTATGCATGCTTGACCAAAGTGCTTAACAGCCTTTTGTCCGGTGTGAATAAGACACACGCATATAACACTTAGGTGGACTCAAACTGAACTTAACGCCAAGGATATAATAGTCCGCACTACCATGACGTCCCATAGGAAGCATCATTCGAGATGTCGGTAATGAGGCTGTACTTGTCGCGAAAGCATGGTGGGAGTGGTTTTCTGAGCGCGCTCACCATGCATATTCGCGAAGTGTGCAGCCTCCGTCATTAGCCGGCGAGATCGGATGATCTCGCCGGGTAGTTTTTTCTGCGGGTAGGTGTTAAAGTCAACAGCTGTTTTTAAGTACTCCTATTTATAATTTCATAATTTATTAATTTCCACAATAGATAAGTGTAAATTATACGACAATTATATTGAGAAAAGAGATCTTAATGTGCTCAAATGTAAACAAGCTTTTAATAACATACTGCATCACCCATAAGCAACACTAGTGTTTACCACCATTAAGCACTGTTACATTACGATTACAATATGGCTAGCATCAATAATGTAGACAAAATACAGAAAGAACTGGAAGTCAGCTGGATGCAAAAGATGGCAGAATTCGAAGATCGTTTGAAGGCTGCACCTGTCCCTCCAATGTTAATGTAATGTAATGCTAAGTCAGGAAATTTATGCATTCAAGGATACGGTCACATAAATGTTTAGTCTATTGCAACTCCAAGTTAGAAGTTGTATTAAACACAATTGATGGACTTGACATGCGGCAACGGCAAAATGTATTGCTATTCAATGGCATCCCCGAGGACTCTGAAGTAAGCTTAATTGATAAGGTTCTAAGCTTAATACATAGCAGATTGGACTCACAAGGTAAAGATCGAGTTAGAGCAGTCCTCGTCCAGTTCCATGATCACCATACAAAATCATTAGTTTGGAAGTCTAAGGCTAAGTTAAAAGGTACGTCTTTCACGTTGTTTGAGTTCCTCACAAAGACGCGTTAAAATATTCACAAGCAGGCCAGGAAGTACATTGGCATGAGGAATGTGTGGACGCTTGATGGCACAGTCTATATTAAAATGCCTGATAGTAGTCGGGCAAAAGTAACTTCAGAGGAAGACTTCAATAATCTTGTCACCAAGTACTCGCCAGGGTGTTCTCCTCTTTCAAATACATCACCTCCCAAAACCGAAGATAGCAGATGTAGTCGCCAACAAGAAGTGGTCTCACGCTATCAAGGGGCACAATCGGGTCCAAGCAACGAAAAAAAAGGGCACGCCGCGTTGTGACCAAAAAATAATGACGTTGTTGATATTTTCACACACTTTCTCAAGGTTGTTACGATTCTTTAAAATAATTAAGTTTACTTTATTCAGTCCTATGTTACTTGGTATCATTCATGCTTTTTATTATTTCTAATGATCGTATCGTAGTAATTATCGTTGCATTATATTTATCTTCTTAGTTTAACCTCTCGTCAGTCCAAAACCTTCTAAAGGTTGCTGTCAAAAAGTACGCATCTGTCCACAACCATCAGAAGGTTGCTGGTTACTTATAAACTTCAGATTCGAAACAGCCCTAGTAAAAGTATACGTATCTCCCTATAACTGGTACAACATGCAGAGAATTAAACAAAGACGGCAATTAATATCACACACGCTTCATAAACCAACCATAGAAGCTGTGAAATAGTAATACATTTATTCCGTTCAGTTGCTCGTTCTGTGACGCGGTGTCGTGTGTTTACGTGCAAAGTATTAATTGTTGAAAGTGATTTCGGAAGTCAATATTAAAGATAAACATGAATGGGTAAGTCATAAATACTTTTCTATTAATATAAAATATATTAGATGACGATTTGTACATAAATTGTTCCATTTTATCAAACATTGCTTGCCATTTCGACCGCCATGTTGAAACCATGATCGTATTAACTTCAATTGTTTTAAACTAAAAGTACAATTGTGAATGGTAAACATTGTCTTAATATCGTTAACATACTTATTTACAAACATAACAATAATTACAATTGTATAGTTTCGATTAAATATTTCATAAAACTAAAAATAACAAATTGCTTAAATCTCTCGTCCACCTGGCGGTTGTGGACAGACATGGGTCGTAAAGTTATTCACATGAAATCCGCCATCTTAGAGAGCAGGTTGTATAGTATGGATACGACTTTGGGAATGCCAGTGTTGGTATATATTTACGATAATTTTTGGTGTGGATTTTTATTTGTTTCGTTTTATTTTTTTGCCAATAAATTGTTTTACTTTTTGTATGTGCATGTCATTATATTTTTTTGCACTTGATTGACAAGTGAAACACTCTTTGTTTTCACTCTTAGCCCAAGGTTATCTGGAAGAGATTGCTTTTTTGTACGTAGTAGTTTTTATTGCTAAGCAATAATCCTTAGCTCGTTGCGGTGCTATAGTTGGAATAGCCTCAAAGTACGAAACGGTCACCCATCCAGTTGCAAGCTAACGCGTGCATTGCTTAAACTTTATTATGGATCTCGCACGCAAGCTATCACTAGGCTAGGGTCACTTCAAATTAAGTAAAATTAAAAAAAATCTAAATAACAAAAATATAAATCTTTATTTTGGCAAAAAAGAATTGTCAAACATTTTTTATAATAACATTAAAATGTTAATTAAAAATATAAAAAGCGAAGAAAAATAACTAATTTGTATTTCATTTTAATTTTATGTTCATGATTACAATTATTAAAGAAGTCACCACAGAAAGTATCCATACTAGCATAGCTGGGTACTACGTCATACTTGGTGCTTTTTGTAGTGAATGTGTAACTTTTAGTTGATGATTTCTAACATAATTTTGTATAAAAGATGCCTTATTTGTTTTGTTTTTAACTTAGGAAATGTTATTATATTTAGGAATGTACATTCACATGTAAATAAATTACAAAATTGTTTGTTACAAATGAAAAAGTTTGAAAGCATTTTTTTTAGGGTCACTTTTTTCAAGTGTTTGTTACAACTCGTTCATTTCTTAATAACTGAATAGTTGTAATATTTGAAACTGTTTATATTAAGAACAAAGACCAAACTATAGCATAAGTTAAGATTTATAGCCCATTGTGCCTCAGGTGTCGTCGATATTGAAGTACAAAATGTGCCTTTTTTTGTGCCTGTTTCGGGTCATCTTAAGTGGCCCACATTATTGTAGAGCTTGTGGTGTGAAAAAACTGTACGTAGAGTTGTGTTTTTTTTATTCATTATTGTAAAGTGTGTTATCGTATAGTAAATGAAGTAAATATTTATTGAAATAATTGCTTAATTTTTTAATGATTACATTTTATATTCAACAAACTAGAAAAAAATCGCTTCTAGCAATTTTACCACCAAATTTATAACATACCAAAAGGGTGAACGTACACATTTACACATATTCTATTAGCTTATTTAACAATAATTCTAACAACATATCATATTATATAGTTCCCATACATAAATATTAAGATATTGCCATTTTAATGACACGCGCCACGTAGGCAATATAACACTCGTTTAGGGTTTGACAGATGCGCCAAAGCGGCTATTTTGGCCCGGACTGCTGAGAGGTTAATTGATTTAACTAAACTACTAAGGGTTTAATATTGTTTATTATTTACTTTTTATAATAAGAATAAAGCAGCTAATAATATTATTGTAATTTTGTTGGTAATAAAGTAGGTAGAAAAATATAAACAAACTGTTATTTTGTTACTTTGTAAAGATAAAGAATATTGTTGTAATTACGATACGCCATGTACAGGCAAAGGTATTATATCTTGCATCCTAGTGTGTTTTAATGTTTCTAAAATACTGTTAGCAAACGGATGTTATTTTATATCATGACTATTAACATTGATTTCAAGAAATGATTTGGTTACACAGACACTAACAAATTAAACATTTGATTTTGTTTTCGTTGGGAAAGATTAATTGTAGACTTATTAGTTTAATGTTGATTTTTTGTTATATCCTGTTTCAGTATTTACTTGTATAATACTGTATTTTAATGATCTATTAATTTAAGGTTACTTTTAAAAACAATGATTGTGGGATAGAGCAGTGATAGTGGAGTAGTTGATTTTCTGGTTTATATGTATAGCGTTGTAGATATTTTATACTTAGACTTTGTTTTATCTCTTAATATATTTAATATTTTATTATTTATTTTTATCTAATATACATATTATATATAAATCTATTTAGAAGTTAATAATGTCTGATGATGCATCTTTTTATTCCATTTATAGTTCAGATTCCTCATACTCCTCTGGTAATGATCTTACAGATAATTTACTTCCCTTACGCGATCAGTTAAGTAATATTTTTCTGCCTCATAAAAAATATTTTAATGTTTGTCATATTAATGCACAGAGCATTCCAAGTCATTTTTCCTA